TATATATACCTGTCGACACGAATGTGGATTCGTATATACGATGAAACGCACAGCATCGTTCGGCGAATATGATTCCACGAGAGGATCTACCAGAGAAGCCAGTACGTACTCATATTATGTCTGATTGTACACATCGTATTCATCAATTTGACGTCTACATCATATACAGCAGTGTGATCACAATAAGCTTGATGTGCACTTACTGCACATTACTCGATCGCCACGTTGGACTGTCGTGTGCATCTTATGTATTAGTTCGGCATGCACATCCCGTATATAAGCTCGGTTGCGCTCAGGATGTATATTACGTTGACTACTAGACAATGTTATACGTGCACACGATACGGACACCTGTGATGTTATATGACATACCGTGTGTTTCAGAGTATCTGAAACTTCCAGATGCCCTAAAAGGATGTTCCGTATGTCTCAGTTTGTCAATGTATGGCTATTATGTCTTTACTTGTTCAATATTTCATCATGTGTATCTAATGTTAAATTTGATCAATATGCCATTGGTTGTTTGAAGGTGTCTAGTATATATTTGACTGTTATAGGATGGTGTGAATGTTTCACTATACGAGATTAACTTTGTATTTTTGTGTATATATTTATGCATGTATTCTGGACAGTTCACTATACGATAAAATCAGGGCATTCTCGTGTGAACCTATGGTATACCTAGCAGAGAATCTACACCATGTTCATATTCGGAGGCATGTACTGAGGGCGATTCAGTATCTTATACAAACCTTTTAAAAGAGTGTGTGAAATATATATATATATATTGCGCATAGTACCTGTGTGCATAGTCAACCATCACCACTACTTCGCACATAGGTATGTGCATAATTAAGGATGTTTACCATGTCTCCAGTATCGTTTTCTGTCCAACGCCTCTCTCGAAACATGAGTGTACAATACATTCCAAGGGGAAACCACTTGAATTTGTCGCATTTTGTCATTAACTTATGGGTATCACATAAGTGTCTCTTCTCGTCTCGTACACGACTCACCCAACTAAGCTATTCAAACTCAGCTAAGCAATCGCTTACTTTCTTTTGGCATCTTGTGATATATCGAATAGGCTGCCATTGCGCGAACTTGTATCATCCACACGTATATATGTGCATATACCAACATAATACATAGTAACTTTTAACATCTTGTGCTCATAAAAGTTGGAAGTAGGTACTAGAATTCACCACTAGAACATATAGTACCGTCCACTGTGCAACCTGTGTGTCTTCATTTAATTTTTCTGTATGTGCCTTCTTCTATCATGGCTCATACGTTCCGATTCATAATTGCTAACACACAACTGATACTACATACAGCTCCAGAATTGACGGAATATGGCTATCTCCTTCATCAACAAGGATCACGGCCTGTGAAGACAATCTGTGACAGCGTCCATGGGCAGGTTGGTTGCGTGCCGTGTTGAGTTTGCTCGATTGTTTTAGACTACCCCATTGTGGTCATGTGTTCCTGGAGTGTCCTACCGATCTAAGTACCACAAGCTTCATCGGTTGATATAACTTAGCCAGCAGACTTCAATGCTTAAGCTATCCGTGACTGCTCACCTATGTGTTGCTCTAACATACTCAGATCCCGCTGACGCCCGAAGAGTTGCAGTTCATAGACACACTGCAATTCCAAAGGCTCCGTGAGATCAAACAGCTTGCCAACTGTTACCTGGTCTTCCCTGGAGCGGTGCACACACGTTTCGAGCACTCCATCGGTACTTCGTATCTGGCCCGTCTGTGGACGAAGAAACTACAGGACTATCAACCAGAGCTGGGTCTGGATAAACGTGACATTGACTGTGTGGCTATTGCTGGCCTGGTTCATGATTTAGGTGAGTGCGCTGTTATAGTGGCTACCACAGTTATCACCTCTCGATGTTCCCTACCTGCCAACGATAGTTGAAGAATGGCCCTGTTTTCTGTGTTTCAATTGTATAGTTGTGATTTCACAGATATTCCGATAAAGGATATCTATGACATGTTTATACGCATCTTATGTTGACATTGCCATGCGTATCTTGTTTCATACACTCAGGTCATGGACCATTCAGTCATCTGTTCGACGGCCCTTTCATGAAAGCTATCCGCAAGCAAGGGTAGGTGTTTCAGAATTAAGATATATATATTCTCGAACTCAACACCAATGTCAAGTTTTCAATAATTTCCTTTATGCTTGTACACCACGCTTGCACCTCGGACATGAGCATAGTGAAGTCTGTGTACATGGCGGGTTATATCCTACCGAACTCTTGGGTCTATTCGTAGGCATATCACACTACTGTGCGTTACAGCATTATCGGATTGGTGCATGTGGACGATTATGTGTGTACGTATTCACTACTTTGATTATGTCGCCTTCATTCTAACCCTCGAGGCTGCTCTATCTATGTCTTACATTTTGTTGTATGTGGACTATTATGTGCGTACGTATATACTACTTTGATTAAATCGCCATCATTCTAACCCTCGAGGCGGTTCTATGTCATACATTTGGTTGTATGTGGACTATTATGTGCGTACGTATATACTACTTTGATTATATCGCCATCATTCTAACCCTCGAGGTGGTTTCTATGTATGTGGACTATTATGTGCGTACGTATATACTACTTTGATTATATCGCCATCATTATAACCCTCGAGTCTGTTCCATGTCGGGCACAGTGGCTCCCAAGCGACAGACAACTGGTCTCACGAAGATGCGTCAGAAATGATGTTCGATTATCTTATCGATCAGAATGGCATCGACTTCAGCAACACAGATCGAAGGTATGCTATGCCGCTCATTTGCACGTGTGAACACACAAATTCTGTGATACTACGAACCCGATGCAATCAATCTGTATACATTTCTCAATACAATCTATCTATGAACGTACCTGAATGAGCGGTATTGATGATTCTTCGAATCTGTTGCAGGCGCGAAAAAAAATGATTATTCTTTCCCGAACTAATTGGCTACTACCAAATTGCCATCGTACTTCAGCTTCGTAAAATCCCTTGTCCAAGGCAAACCAGTAAATTGCGCGGGTGAGGACCAGGAAAAGGTTTTTTTGTACGATATAGTTGCGAATAAGGTATGAGTGATCGTACGATTGTTCTAATTTCTTTACCAAGTGTGTGCGAGATGACAATTCACTCTGCGTGCTCAGACCTGGTAAGCAGACAGGTACGCATGCCACACAACAAAGTGCATGTGCTGTTGTGTGCCATGGTTTGTCCGTTGTGGACATCCACCGTCAAGTACTCATTGCCTGCTTTATGGACTACACCATACAGCAAAACAGCATCGATGTCGACAAGTTCGACTACTTCCTAAGAGACGCGAAGAACGTGGGGATTAAAACTGGTATGTTTGATAGTTCACTGCCTTTTATCAAGTATAGGTGTCACGCGGCGCTCCATACACTTTTAAATCGTGGCGTATCTGATATTTAACGTGGCAGTGTGATATGGTACTTCTTGATCCATAAGGTGACATACGGCCTGTCTTCGCACTTTTCTAAAGGCACTGCAGTGAGTGTATTGTGATACAAATTGCGTTTACCGCAATTGATTCCGTACACATATACGAACAGCATCTTTTATATTCCTTTCCAACTGTAGATTTCGACTATCAGCGCCTTATGGACAACAGTGCTGTTATCGGCAACCGAATTTGTTTCCAGGAGAAGATGGCCTTTCAAGTATACGATCTATATGGCGTGCGCTTTAAGCTACACAAGACAGTATACAAGCATCGCGTAGGTATGTGCCGCTGTCGGGAGCATCGTCAGCACCTGATTCCTCGACGTAGAATTAGGAGAAAGTAGAGCGGTCGAGTAGGCGTGAACACCCCCGTGTATGCGTGTATATCATAAAATAGCAAGTATGCACATGTAGGTCATCTGTAGTCACAATCACATACTGTGTGTATATTTGATTCTACATGGGTCATACACATATTCTGGACACGTATTAAGCTCGAAAGTATCTAATACACGCCAGGGAGAGCTGTCGAGGCCATGATGGTGGACGCCATGCTGCTAGCTGAGCCGTATCTGAAGTTCAGTGAGGCCATCCATTCTCCGGAGAGATTCCAGGATCTCACCGATCACACCGTCTTGAATGATATATGCCGCTCTAAGAGACCGGTATGATTATATGAGTGGAATCCCCTCGCATGACTGCATTCATATCTCCTTTTTTTTTCTCTCTTGTTCTGGGTGTGTCTCGGTAGCGTAGTCGGTAGCGTAGTTCTCGGTAGCGTTGAGTGTACATTCAATCTAAACTCAATTCCCGCTTGATTCGAACAGGAGTTGGAAGGAGCTCGGAAACTAATACAGCGAATGAAGATTCGAGACCTTTACAGCGTATGTCTACCCGCTATTCGCCTCTCTGATTACCTGATTGCTGAATTCAAGATAACGTATTCTGTTCCAAAGACCAATAATATATTTATTTTTCTCTCAGATTGTCCACGAATTCCTGGTGACCGAAGAACAGAAGCCAATCGTCAAAGAGGTAGGCTGTAGCGTCATTTATTCGATTGAGTAAATCCCAACTATTCTCAAAGGCCTATAAGTGCGCCCTGCCCCATCGATAATATAATACGTCACCACCCTCACTCATCTGATTTACATGTATTGGTACAGAATCTGACCAGGGAAGCTATAGCTGCAGCTGGTGAGGGGTCGTGGAATCTGAAGGTATGCATAATGTGGTGTGCTGTGTGCTTTGTGAGAAGCACATAAGACTGATCTCCGATTCATCGGAAAACTTACAAATCCAAGTCATTGCAGCTATGATGGAACATATGAATCTACGATGGCCTACACGAATGCAGTCGCAAGCAAAACACAATTCATACCTGTCAACTACTCGTACTCTGCGCACAACCAGAAGACAAGAAACTTTGTTGATGAAAAACAACCCAATTTAGACTGTGAGCTTGAACTATCACCGTACTGGCCATTCGCTGCACTAAATTATTTCCTGAGGTGTTTGTTTGTGCGAGAAAGCGTACATGGGTCACACCTGTCCTCACACTCAGCCTCTGCTCGCACCATCACACAGCCCGGAGACATATTCATCGACGAGGTGACCACTAACTATGCTATGAACAAGAAAAACCCTGTCGACAGTGTCAACTTCTATTCCCGCTGGGGTGCACAAAGTGAGTCAGTCAGCATTTGCTGCCACACTCCTTTTAAAACTTGTATATCTGTGTCTATCACATTTGAGAAGCTGCTTATTGCAATTGGATTGGCTGATGGAATTCGTGGTTTATTATCACCAAATTTTTCTCGTATACGCGCCGCTGATTTCTTCGTTGGTCAATTGAATGAATCCAAATGATACAACTAGTATTGATTTCTTGTGTGCAGACTCCTTTAAGATCCCGAAGGAGCAAGTCAGTGGTTTGCTGCCGAACACGTTCGAGGAAACTTACATCAAAGTGTACAGTTGCCACAAGGAAAAGGTGTGTATTGTAATGGTACTGGTGTGCGTTGCACGTAAGTATTGCCATTCACCTACGAAACAGCATCATCAAACCGTGAATGGCCTCACTCCTGATAAACTGCCGCACTGCCGAAATGTAGTTGGCACGTTTGATTTATAGATGTACAGCTTTAAAGATGATGCATATATCGAGCATTTGTACCGAATCACTAAATACAACCTTCAGACTGTATCGCAAAGTAGAGGTACGCACAAGACGGAACCATGTCACAGTCACCTCTACCGATGGCCGAACGACATTTAGTCTAAGAGATTGCTCGATCTTTATTCCATCTGGCGTATTATAAAGGCATTGGATATACTGACTCAAACTGACACATAGGCACGCTTGACCCCATTGGAGATATACCAACAGTCTGAACTCGGGATTCTCCCTTTCCTTCTCAGATGTATTTCGTGCAGCAAGCCCTTCAGATTGTGCTGAAGCGGCTCTTACCAAAGGAATCTCGGGTCTTCAGGTCCGCAATGACTATACCCTGCAAGGAGTCCCCATTCATCAGACGAGGGCAACCGCCTAGGACACCCTCGTTCAGCAGAATGGCCCCGGGATCTCATCCAGGTCTTTCAACAGCCTCCAAGCGGCGTAGATCAGAAAAGGATGTCAGATCCAATAGTCTACTGGGTAGGGATCTGTTCTCCGTGAAGGAGTAGCGTCGATGGTAGACACCTTTTGATATTTATATATTCGGGTGCCGCAGTCGAGTAGGAACATGCACAAACCTGATATGATTAAAACGTTTTTATGTCTATGTATACATGTATTTATACACGTATCTATGTGCATAATACTATATGCATATATTTGCGTGTGTACGTACATGTACGCAAAGACACTTTACTGAATTCAAAACAGAACTGATCTATGCACGCCACTGGCGTCTGTATATACATTGGTCCCACAGAACCAGCTGTCATTCCGCCCCAGATATACTGTTTGCATAGGTCCATCGCGTTTTACCTGGCATGCCCTTAAGAAAATATACATATCTATGAATGATAGTGTGCCTTCGATGTAGCTGTCGCTAATATCTATGTAAACGTAAACCTAAGCAGAAACAGATACTAAATTGTGTCTATAGCACTATGTGCTGGTATGCTTTTATGCTTCAATGTCAGAATATGACAAATTTGTAACTGTTTCTTAAATAATTGTCGGAAACAACATAATTACTCCAGAACAATGAGATCAAATGAAAGTAAAAAGTCGAATAGTTGCGCCGTAGAAAGCTTTGCATACTGTGCTTCTATTCACAATATCTTGGCCGTAATTTCGATCCAAAATTGGCAGCTTTTATAGCATAGGCTCGAAATTGTAGTAATTTTCTGCCCGAATTCTACAGATCCTATGAGCTCATAGCAGTCCTCACACAGTGAGTCCCGGTATGTTGTGATAGTTCTAAATATAGAGTCTGTATTCTAAATATAGCGTATAGTGTGTCGGTCAGCTCGGTCTAATGCGGTTAGACCCACGCGTTCGCTACCAGGCACAGCTATTGGCCATCATCTAGCGTCCTCGACAGTATCTTTGTCACCCAAGCCCTGTATACAGAAATTAAATATCAGTTAAGTTATAGCTTCTTGTGTCGCCAATTTCTGAGTGCAGTCGATATGTTGTGTACAGCAAAATGTTGGTGAGAATAAAACCAGATACATATTTTTGTTTATGATTGAGTATCAATAGATATACTTCATGTCTCAGTCATGTATACTGTCAATATATAACACAGTCAGAAATTTTTGGATGAATACATTACTCCAATGTTCTAGAGCTACTGGGCACGGGATCGCGATCAGACATTCATTTACCTGGCGTAAGGGATATACGACAAGCTGTACCACAGATTGGCGCCGACTTGAATGAAGACAAACAACAGGACCAGGATCTTCGACTTCCACTGCGGTTTGAAGTTGTATCAGATGTGGCAAAAGTGAGATCAATATACCGGACAATTTGCAACACCAGCAGGTTCATATTTCACTACAATTAGGACTAGCACAACCTACAGATGCGCTTAGCTTGTAGATAAAAATAAATCCCACACATTCGTTTCTTTAACTACCATTATATCCATCCCAATCACCTGTCTTCTTCCAGCATAAATTGTACTTTCGCGGGAATCTGGGCGCTTTCGAGATAACATACCCAAAACGCAGCAAAAAGTGTGAGTACTATACTGCCCAATGCGACAGCACTGGCCGTGGCGCGTCCCTCAGAGAACATGACCTTTAGATGTCCCACAAATCCAGAAAGGAAGAACGAGCTGAAAGATGGCAAGATAAATGACCATGGGTTTTCAGGAATTTCTCTGTATGTATATTATCCTTCAAGTACAAACGAACTGAAAGATGGCAAGAAAAATGACCATGAGTTTTCAGGCATTTCTCTGTATGTATATTATCCTTCAAGTACAAACGAGCTGAAAGATGGCAAGACAAATGACCATGGGTTTTCAGGAATTTCTCTGTATGTATTTTATCCTTCAAGTACAAACGAGCTGAAAGATGGCAAGAAAAATGACCATGAGTTTTCAGGCATTTCTCTCTATGTATATTATCCATCAAGTACATGCTTATTCTCATTGGAATCGGGTGAGATAGCTCGAACTACCATGCTCCGGCCATTTTCAGCAGTTGCGTATTTAAAACTAACAGTTCACGGGCATAGATGGTGGGTGAGTGGAACAGGGCTAGGCTGGAGTCGGTAGGAGAAACCATATAATCTACAAAGTGCGATCAAGCATGTCGGACTAGAAATCCCACGAAAAATAGACAACGAGGATAAGGTGCGACTGTTTACGCTAGAAACTGATACATAAGCAACTATCAAGACCCCAGGTAACTATTAGCATAGAATCAACGCCGCCTGCGACAATCTACAATCATACTAAAGTGATAATCAAACACATACATGAAACCATACAAGTGAGTATATGGTTCCTGTTTTACACACCTGCCGAACAGTAGGATGTTCCCTAAACTGTACAACACCGCGAAGGAGCTAAGATTGCCAAAGCCTATGGCTAGCACCCCTAGCAAGATCATTATAACGCCTATCCCGAAAGAAAGGGCGAATGCCTGGTACCTCTGTGCACGCGTTAGATTGAACCAGGTCGCCACCTAAGAATGAACCGGGACAAAACGAGATGGTGTGAGACAGGTTGTTATGTGAGATTATAGGCGTGACTTATAATATTTTTTAACGGACATGAGATACAATTTTCTCGTGCTTGACAACTCTTGTCCCCTAAAAGATATATTCAGCACGCTGGAATTCGATCCGAAAAGTATCCAGTAAAAGCAATCGAAGCAGAGTTCTATTATATCTCCATATTTAGTATCTACTTCACCTCTTGTCGTACGCCATCTATTAATCCAACATCGTCCGATTCCGTGGCCAACTCTATAGTATCTGGCTCGACGGCTATCGAAGTCGTGCTCTCCGTGTCTCTTCCACTACTGATTGTCCCACTGCTATTTCCTTGATCTGAGTCATCATTCTCTGTACGACCATTGAAATATATATGAGAAAGGGAGGTTTTATAATTTTGTTTCGACAATTGTGAAT